TGCTCCCTGAACAAGGCAGCCCTCAGATGCCCTGGGTTATTGCAAAGGTATAGAGAAGCAGGACTGAGTTCACAGCCTGTAAGAGGCAATGGGGTGAAGAAGTCAATCAACTACCAAATACTGACAGAGCATCCCCACCCCATCTCTAATTGCCTTCATCTTTCAAAGATATTTGAATCTTTCTAAAGGAAGTCTACAAACGGATCTTTATTTATTTATTTATTTATTTATTTATTTATTTATTTATTTATTTATTTTCCCCCAAAGCCCCAGTAGATAGCTGTATGTCATAGCTGCACATCCTTCTAGTTGCTGTATGTGGGACGCGGCTTCAGCGTGGCCAGAGAAGCGGCGCATCGGTGCACACCCGGGATCTGAAACCAGGCTGCCAGCAGCGGAGCGCACGCACCTAACCGCTAAGCCACGGGGCCGGGCCCTGAAAGGATCTTTAAATGAAAATGGTACAAACATTGCCTTTTTCAATTTTAGTTTGGATTTTTCTTACAGATTAGCCCGAGCCCCGAGCGAGCCCTGAGAGAACGCAGCACAGGTAAACAGATTTCAATCCCCTTCTCCTCGCGTCCATTTCAACCACTTGCTCCCTGACTAGTAACTAGTTCTTGCTATTACCATCGAAATCTGAAATTCTCAAGCCCCGCATTGTCTAGCCTGGTCACTGTCTCTCTTCCTGTAAAATAAACCCAGGTCTTCATTCACGCACTCATTCACTAAATATTTCATTGGAGTTTCATCGGAATGCAGAGGGAGTTATTCATTTGACCCACATTTATTGAATGCCTACCCATGGCAGGTGCTCTTCTGAGGACACAAGGAGGGCAAGACAAAGTCCCTGTCCTCTGAGGCTAGAGTGGAAAGCAAGGGCCAGACTGAGAGAGGCCTTGTAGACTTTCTTAAGGAGTTTGAACTTGAAGAGCTGTGTGGAGCCATCCATTCATTCATTTGACACATTTTATTGAGCGCATGCCATGTGCCAGGCACTGTTCTAGGCTCTGGGAATACAGAAGTTTAAAAGCCAAAGCAAAAAATCCCTGCCCTCATGGAGCTTACATGCTAGCTGATTCTAAGCAAGGGAAGCAGATGTTTGCTTTGGAAAGATCACTCTGGCTGGGGGGTGGGGTAAAGACTGAGGGCAGCAAGGGGAGAGGTAGCCTGGTGCCTTGACTGCCGTCTTCCAGAGTCACAGCCTTGCCTTGGCTCCACGGCCCTCCTTGGGCACCTTCTCTTGTCAGGAGCCCTCTTCCCCCTTTATCCTTCAACTGTACCGATCCTGCACCCCCAACCCTGATGTAACATTCTACCCCTGGGCTTCCCAGGGCTGCAGGAGACAATGATGAAAATATTCAGATTGTAGCCACTATATGTGAGAATCTCCGATCCCAGTTGTATCCTGGACTCTGCTGGTAATTCCATTTCTCTAAGAAGCCACCACTCTCATTCCTTCCAGCAGCTACTTTAACCTTAACCACTTTTCTTAAGTCCTCAACCCCATCTTGACCCCTTCTCTCTCAGGAGATTGCTTAGAGACTGTCAGGTAGCAACCAGTTCTCTCCACTTCTAACTCTGGGTCTGCCAATCTACAAACGCATCTGCTGTGTGCCCTTCTTCTCAAAGATACCCAAGGAACTCCACCCTGGATGTCTGGATCGCTGTCCTCGAGGACATTTTCATTAACCATCTCTGTCCCTCCTTGGTCTTTCCCCTCCGCATATGAGTATGTTTGAGCCTTGCCATCTGAAAAAGAAAAAACATAACAGAAATCTTCCCCTTGATCCTGCCTTCCCGCATTCACTTCTTATATTTCTCTTTCCCATTCATTGCCAAGCTTCTAGAAAGAGTGGTCTACAGTCGTGTGTCTCTTTTACTCTTTAGTCCACCGGAGCCTGGTTTAACCATGAATGTTCTCACACCATGGGTACCAGTGACTTTCTTGTCAATCCAAAGGGCATTTTCAGCCCTGCCCTCCTGGACGTCCTTGTTGCACTTGTGTGTTATCCCAACACCCTTTCCTGACACTCTCTCCCAGCCTCCTTTTGGACACTCTGTGGTTTCAGTTTTTCTCCTATCAATTTGGTTGTTTCTTCTGGATTTCTTTGGCAGTTCTCTTCCTTCCTCTATATGCCCACCTGGGGGATCTCAGATGCCCATAATTTCATTGACCACCTCTAACCCGAAGGATTCAAAATTGATATCATTCGTCCACACCTCTACTTTGAGTTAGTTTCATGAATCCACTGTCCACTAGACATCCCCACCTAGACATTCCACAGACACCTCAAACCCAGCATGTCCAAAATGAAACTCATGCTTTCTCCCCCAACACCTGAGGCCTGTCTTACTGTTGTCCCTCATTTAGTGAATGGCACCACCTGCCACCAATTCCTAAGGCATCAAGTGGGGAGTAATTCTAGATTCCTCCCCCTTCCCAATTCTTTACATTCAATATCTTAAAAAATGGTATCCATCTGACTTCCTAACAGTCTCTTGTATCTGTCCTTTCCTTTTCATGCCCACTACCCAGCCCTGGTACAGTGAGGAAATTCCCTACCTTGCACTCCGGATGTATCCTTGGTGCTTGTTGAGTTCCCAGCCTGTACTCCCAAGCTGTATCAGGTCCTGGCAGGAAGCAAATGGCACAGTCCAATTTGAGGAGTCATTTGAGGAAAGTTTAAAAGAAAAAAGAGTCAATTTACAAAGGGTCGTCAGGTATAGGAAAACCAGAAGGAATAGTGTGCAGTATACTGGGGCCAGCAGGAAAGCAAGTTGCCACCCCTAGGCCTGAAAAGTCAAAGGAAGAGAGTGATTATCTGAATTAGAAGGAGGGAAAGTGAGAGAGAGGGAGAAGGAACCACCTGGAGGGAGCTGTCATCTCTGGTTGAGGGTGGCAGCCAGCCCACAGTGACCCCAAAGAGAGGGATCCTGGGGAATAATATCCTAACCTCCCTGACCTCCCTCCTCTGAATCTCCTGCCCTGGCTCCCCGTTGGCCAACCCCTGCTAGGAAGCCAGAGGGCCACAAGTGGATCTGGAGGGGCAAGTGGAGGACATGCAGTGCACCTTCCATACCCTCCGGGGTAATCTGCCAGACTGCGTTTTCTGATGATGCCACTCTCGGCTCCTCTCATCTACACCCAGGGTGCTCTCTCACCTATAGGACAAAATCTAAACGTTTTTGGCATGCCCTGGCTTCTCTTATAACACAAATTTTTCTCCCTACCAAGATGCATTATAAAGCCTTTGATATGATCCTCAATCCAGGGACCCGGGCCTGTTCCTGTTAGCTCTCCTCTTCAGACTTGTCACTCCAGCAACACTGAACCACTGGTGGCCCTCTGCTCATCTGTTCTCTGGCTCCTGAGCTTAGTCTGAGGACAGGCACAGAGTGAGCTGTCATAGATGTTTGTATTGTGAACAAGTGGGGAATGAGTGAGTGAATGAATGCATGTTTTCATCCCCGTGGCTCTTGAGGATCAGGAATAGGATCATCCTCACATTATGGTATGTGATATATATTGTGATATATGAGCAAGCTGTCTATAGTTATCACAATGGTTCACGCACATTCTCTCATTTGATCCTCACAGCTCTGAGTGGTAAGTGAAGCTGCTGTTATTACCAATGCCCAGAGGGTGAGGTGGATTACCCAAGGTCACATCTCCGGCAGAGAGAAGAAACACAAATCTGTCTCCCCACTCACCAGCTTGTCCTCCCACTGTCTCTCCACCGTTGCCTGCAATGAAGGGTCCTTTGCATTTGCCCAGATTTCATCTTATATGAGAACAAAACAATATGCCAAGAAATCCTACTGAACAGTGAACTCACTTTTTATATTTCTTTCTCCCTTATGTAGGATTTCCTCTGGTTATTCAAGTTGCCTTCCCCATAATAAATAGTTATCATCTCATTGAGCTCTGGAGTCTCTTCCAATTCTATAATTCTGTGAAACTAAGAACTCTGTTCGGGGTTGTTGCAGAGTTTCATAGTAATGAGGAAATTTTAAAAGGCCCCATATCATTTAAAAAGTCCTTTCTGACACTTCTGTCTTTTTAAAAAAACGCTAGTGAACAGAGTGGAATAGTCGCATTTTTACAAATATTTCCTTGAGACCAGGAAAGGAGACGGTTGGCAGATGTTTCCACAGGAACCCTGACTGGGGGTCCTGGGCACCTGAGGGCCCCTGGGAGTCTTGAGACCCTGGATACCTGAAGGGGACTGTGGAGAAGGGAGGCTGAGAACCAGGTGCTGATCTCCACAGTCTGGCAAGAAAAACAGACGGAGGGCCCTGGGGGAGGACAAGGTTCACGGATCAGAGATCATAGTTATTATGTAAACCAAATGCAAATGAGGGGCTGGCCAACTATTGGTTTCTTTTGGGTGGAGCCTAGGAAAATTCTCCTGGAGACCACTGCTCAAAGAAAGATACTTAGAGTCAAAATTTTAAATACACTGTTTGAAAGAGGGTTTTTTTTTTTCTTGCAGTAGTTGGGTTGGAGGATCCTCTACCTCCCCTCCCCCCTCGGGTTGTTGATTGCTATTCTCTGGGGCTCAGGTCGGACGAAAAACGAATGAGGCTGAGCGTGCAAAGGGCCACGACAGCTTCGCCACCTCCGCCCTCGAGGTAGGGGCTCTTTCCAGCACCGTTATCGTAATGATGGGGGAAATTCCTCAAACCGATACTGGACCTCAAAACTGTCATTTCCAGCAGGATGATTTAGCATTCATCTGACAGAGCAGGGGTTCCAGCAGGGAAAAGTAACGACCATCTGCAAACCCCCTCACCCAACTGGGAAGTGGAAACCTTGGCTCTTGGGTTGCCAAAGCACAACTCGCCGCCAGCGCGTTTCTCTTCCCCCGCGCGCTGGCAGGAGGGTGGGGAGGGAGGGAAGGGAGGAGGGGCGGGGAGGGCAGGGCGGCCCGGGTTCCAGCGCCCGCCCCGCCCTCCGCTCGCGGCCGAGTCGGCGTGCGGCTGGAGCGGCCGGCGCTGCCTGTCCGGGCGGGTCTGCGGGCGTCGGCTCCGTGCAGTGCGCGGGGTGTCCGGGAGATGGCTTCTCCGCGCTCGCCCGCGGCTCCCGCTATTGTCTCGCCCGGGGTTGCCTGATTGCGGGCTCGCGCACGCTCCTGGCCGAGAGGACTTTCCCCTCCGAGCTGGTCCTTGCGCCCTTCCTGCAACCGGCTGCCCTGGGACCCCAGGCCGGCGCTCGCCGCGTGCAGCCAGAGAGGGAGCGGCGCGGAAGAAGGCGTGCGCGGCGACTCACGCGGGTGCCGGTGCCGCCTGGAGCCGCGGAGCGAGCAGCCCACGTCGCCGAGCACACGACACGTCGGGTCCTGCAGGGAAGCCTGCCGGGAGCACAGGTAGGACGCGCGCCCAGCCGAGAGCGCACGCCCGGGGTCTGCCGATTGCCCTCCGAGTGGAGGGGCGCAGGGCCGGAGCTGTCCCTCCAACATGGCAACAGCGGAGGTGCAACAATGGAAGGAGGCGAGGGTCCTCAGCGGGCCGAGCCACGGACGCCGTGGATGGGGAGCTCCGGCCCGCGGCGCCGAGCAGGTTGCCCACCCACACCGCCACCCTGCTCGAGCCGTCTCGGGCCGCCGGCACCCCTTGCCCACCCCTTTCCCTCCAAACGCACTTCCTGGCTCCCAACTGCAAGGCGATCTGAACCAACCAATGGTTTGAGGGTTTGTTTGTTTAAGATGAGAAATAAAAAGCAAAATCTGCCCTGGAGTGGGGGGTGGGGGGTGGGGGTGCTGCTTTCTCTTGCAGTGGGTGAAAAGTCAGCCTTGGGAATATATAGGTTTTTTAGCCGGACGGGTGGTAGACTTGGCTTCTCCCTTATAAGGATACTGCAGCAGAAGGAGAAAGCTTGGGAGAGGGACCCTCAGGCCCGGGCCCTCGGTGGAGGCGCTGCTCTCCTGGCCTGTACTTGTCTCTCATTTTCAGCTCCCGACAGCGGTAGCTTTGATGTTGGGGAGCAATCGTGGCAGCAGGAAGCCCCAGGGAGGCTGCCAAGCTGGGGTGGGGTGGGGTGGGGAGCCCAGGGGCTTGGCAGGCTCCTGGATTGTGCAAAAAGGTTACCAAATGTATGAGGTTAGTTAGTGCACACACCCTAGTTGGCTGGTATTGTGTGTGTGTGTGAAAAATATGCTCTTGCTGCTTCAGGCCAACCTTCTCTCCTTCCGTCTCCACCCCCTTTTGGGGTCTTTGTGACTTCCCTGCTCCAGTCCCACCAGCCATGCCTCGGATGGAATCTATTGTCTCTGGCTGCCCGTATGTTTTTCTCAATTCTGTTGGAGAATTTTGTGCCATGGGCTGGCTGGTCCCAGTGTGACACCAGATTCTTCAGCACACAGCTACCCAGGCTTCCAGAAGTGGGCCAACACTGCCCCTCCTTCTCTCTCTAAACTAAACTACCTGACTGTCTGGGACGTGGCCAAGCAGATGTAAGCAATTTGCACTGAATTCCAACCCAGTATCAGCGGCACAGTGAACACTTACTCTGTTGCTGCACTAGGCCTTGGAAAGGTATTGGAAGAGAGGTGGCCCAGGGGTGGCAAACCTGACCCCCAAATACTCCTCCTTCCCAGCTCCAGCTGTGGATCCAGAGCAGAGAGGTGATGAGGCCTCGGAACTGCAGCTCCTCCAGAGCCTGGCAGTCCCATCTGGGATTGTGTCCATGGAAAAATTAAGTCGAGGCACATTTTATAGCTCTGCCTGGCAGCTAGTGTCTGAGGAGATGGTGGCTCTGAGCCGGAGCCCTGGACTGAGGCTGTGCCTGCCTCTCCTTTGGCCTGTGGGTGAGCCGAGGTTTGATTTTCGTGGTCTGAATTGACTGTTGAGTGTGCATGGGCGTGCGTGTCCGAATCTGATGAGCTCTCAGCCCTGGCCAGAGGGGAGCCTGTCCACTTCCCTCTCCCTGGAAGCATGTGAAGGAGGCCCAGGAGTGTGCAGGGGTGAGGAAGGCTCCAGCTTTTCCCTGGGGTGCTCCTTTGGGCCTCCCCCATGGCCTGGAATGCCTGCGGTCTTTGCCGTGACCTAGTGGCGCTCTGGCAGATACTCCACACCCTTGTGGGCCTGTGGTTCCCTCACCCCACCCGGGCCTGGCTCTTTGCAGGTGTCTCATGTCTGTGGCCCTTCAGCCTGGACAGCCCTGCTGGGGCTGGCAGGGAGAAAAATGAGGGGTCTCTGTTCCCTTTGGGGGTTTGTAACTGGCCATAAACTTCAGGCTCCTCGTGCTCCCAAGATGTGAACTTGGACGTGGTAAGGTGGTGTAGTAGAGAAAACGATGGGTGGATTCAGTGTCAGGAGGCCTGGCTTTAGTCCTGGTGTGACTTTCTTCCTAGCTGCATGAACCTGTCTAAGACTTAGTTTGCGTATCTGTAAAATGGAGGAAAAAATAATATCCTTGGCTCACAGGATTGTTTTAAGGAAGACATATACTGCTTACCCTGAACTGAATAAAATCATTTATGCAAAAGCACTCTGAAAACTGCAGAGTACTATACAAGTGTTGGTTATTCATCCTGAGTTTAGCCTCTAGTGACAAGAGAGGGAGAGCTGGCAGGGATGGGGGTGGGTGGGAGGAAAGGGATATGGAATAGAGAATGTTCCAGAACTTTTCCTTTGTGGCAAAGGGAAGAGTGACGTGAAAATACCAAGGTAACTATTCCTTGAGTATTTCTCTTTAAAAAGGGTTGAAAGGATGGGAAATGGGAGAGAAGGAAAGGCTGCTTAATGGTATTTGTAGGGAATCGAGGAGGGACATACTCCCCCCAAAGTCTGACTACTGTCTGTAGACAGGATAGTGCTGAGCTGGCAAATAATATAATAGCCAACACTTACTGATGTCACCCAGCTGGTAAATGACAGAGGAGGGGTCTCACTCCAGACCCTGTGCTTATAACCTTGATGCCACTGTCAGGGACGTACTGGGTCTTGGGAGAAGAGAAAGGGACAGCAGAGTCGCACAATTCATTCATACTGGATTCCTTGACTTGAATGCCCATGAGATGTCACCAGACTAGGGTATACCTTAGATAATACACTTATTAAGGACAGGGGCCCAGGAGGACAGATTTCCTCCAGCCAGCCCCAGTCCAGCATAGCACCTCCTTAACTCCCAGTTGTTTGAGGGTCCAGGCACATGTGTGTGATTTCCTTGGGCTCCTGCCTCACTGGCCTTTCTCTGCTTCCTCATTCATATCCCTACCTTCAGGGTAAGGAGAAGACTAGGAATAATCAAATCAAGTAATTTTGCCACCTTCTCAGCAACTCTAATAAGAGGTTTGGGACTTGGGGGGGTCCAGGGAAAATTGAGGCAAATCTTTTGCTTTGCTTTATTTTGTGTCTGTTTTATAAAATGAAAGGAGACTATTCTTGCATTTCCTGTGATCACATAAAGTGTTAGAACTGGAAAGGACCTTGGAGATCATTTCCCTGAGAAGAAGTGACTCTCCCTAGGTCACCCGGTGACTAGCAATGCTGGAACTTTACACTGTGGGGTATGACCAGTGAAAGGACCTATCCTTCGAGTGTCGACCCTATCAGGGGCTTCATTGTTGGGAAATTCTCTTCTCTCAGAACATTGATGATGTAATTCACTCACCCCAAATCTCCTCCCGGTTAAAAAGATTTAGGATACAGAAGACACCATTTGTGCTTTGGGGCAGAGGCCCTCAAGGTGTAGAGAAGGAAGAGGAGAGAGGTTCTCAGTGGTCCTGAGGCAGAATGCAGAGCCTGTGGCTGAAGGGATCTTTAGCAATTCACTCCTTACCCTCTGTGAAACTTCCCGTAGAAAGTCTCACCCTGCAGAGGCTCCCGGATATTTCGAAGAGAAGCCACAGATCATTTGCCTCTTTGGAAACTGTTGTCCTTCCACCTTAACTTGATCATTCCTGCCACTTTCCTTCTTGAAAACATTGTTCAACTCCCTACTTCCTGGACCTTTCTCTCTTAACCCTAGCCAAACCTAGTCATCGTGAGACTAATCTCCTGGCAGTAGTTTCTTTTCTTCTCAGCAGTTCTTCCTACTATGCTTTGTGCCTCCTTCTAAGTCTCTGTCCCCGTGGGTCCTGTCCTGGAGGTTAGGTTCTGCTTCGTCTCCTCTCCCTATATCCTCCCCACAGTGGAGGTGGGTAGCAGGCGTGAGAGCTGCTCCACACACGGGGCTGGTTCCCCGTGCCTGGGGCCTGGCTAAGCCAGGCTCACCAGGAATAAGCTTGTGTGGGGGCATCCTCTCCAGCCAAGTCTTTCTCTCTTTCTATCTTAGTCTAGTTGGTACCCTTGGCAGCAAACCAGAAGGCATAAGGGTGAGGGAAAAATAGAGAACCAAGGAAATTCCATTTTGAGGAAGTACTGCAGTTTGCCTTGCTAGATAGAAGAAATAGATATGAGCTCTTCTTGTCTCAAGTCTCAGACTAATCTAGAACCCAGAGAAGAGTAATGATGAAGACCTTCCTCTATTGAGACATTTCTCAGAGCCCTGCTTTCTGAAGCAGAGTGTCTGTCACATCCTGACTTGCCATGCTGTTATGTCTTCTAAGGGTTAAAGGAAGTTAAAGTGACCAGTAGCATCAGTAGAGGGCATTTAATTCTGACCAAGAAAGGAGAGATCGTTTGGAAATTGGATGTTATGGGAAGCTAGGAGAATGCAACTATATTTTCCCAAAAACTTTATAGCCATGGATGTCAGATTTCTACTCTAGACTCAGGAAGACAGATTTCCTTTTTTTTTTTTTTTTTTTTTTTTTTGAGGAACACTGGCCCTGAGCTAACATCTGCCAATCCTCCTCTTTTTGCTGAGGAAGACTGGCCCTGGGCTAACATCCGTGCCCATCTTCCTCTACTTTATATGGGACACCGCCACAGCATGGCATGACAAGCAGTGCGTCGGTGCGCGCCCGGGATCTGAACCGGTGAACCCCGGGCGGCCGCAGCGGAGCGCGCGCACTTAACCGCTTGTGTCATTAGGTCGGCCCCTCCTTTTTTTTACTTAAAAGAAAAGATGGATACAGTTCCCTGACAGGAGACTTGGTTAAAGATAGAGTGGTTCCAAAGAGTTGGCAAATTCTCTGAAGTGCAATTTTGACCCTGCTGTTGCAGGTGGTCCCAACAATGAAGGCACAAAGGAGCCATGAGCAACAGTTCAGGTACTGAGAAAGGCAAGAACACGTGATGAGTAAGGATAGCCACGGGCGTGGAGTGTCTGTCTACTTGTAGTTTTTCAGACGTCATGATTTCCCCTCTCCCCAACTCTGGAGGACATGGGTGATGATGAAATCGTCTCTTTCCCCTTTACATTTGGGAGAGCTGAGGTTTATTTTTTTATTTTTATTTTTTTGTGAGGAAGATCGGCCCT